GAGGGAATTATTGTCCTAGTAAAGGTAAGACTAGATGATCTCTGAAGTCCCTACCAACTGAGATTCAGAAATTGATTCTGAAGATTAGATTGTATGCTCCTTGAGGGCAGGTATTGTCTTTTGCAATTTTTTATCTCCAACACTTAGCACAGTATCTGGCACCTAGTAAGTGCTTAATAAATGTTTATTAATTGACTGACTGACTGACTCCTGCCATCTGCCAACCTAGGTGTTCTTTAAGGGCCCTTCTAGGTTTAGTATTTTATAGTTTTCAAATAACCTTTTAATAATAATAAATAAGGTTTAATTAATAATAATAAGTTTATTAATCTTTTACCTTCTATATTGACTAAAGCTTTTTGAGGTTCAGTCTTTTAACTCTTCCCACCCTAATCACATCTATGTGGTAACTTGTCAGTTTGCTTTTTGAATGTCATGCCCAAGGTCCTTAGGAGGAGCCCCAAAATGCAACAAACCAAGAGTGAACATTTCCTATTAAGAAAAGATTCAGGCAAAATTTGGCTATTTTCTGTCAGCTGAAGGTGGATGGGGAAAAATATTTTTTTAAGAAGCAGGGAACATTGCCTCCTCTGAAATAGCCAAGTAACCTTTCATGGCAGCCCAGAAACTGACAGTAACAATGCTAGCCTTTCCCAGGAACACAGAATCCACTTACCTCTAGTCTATTGGTGGTGATCTTGGCCAAGTCAATTTTTAAAAATCATTCCAAACTTAAAAACATCAAACTAAATGAGCATTTCCATATGCAAAGTAGAGCCAAAAAAAAAAGACAGTTGTCCATGAAAGTATGAATCTCTATTACATATAGCTTGCTTTTCTTTTTAAGTATATAATAAATTCAACATGTAACTTTCTAAGCTGTCCTGCTTGTCTGTGGATTTTCTGGCCTTCCTTCTGTTCTTTTTTGTGCATTTTTTGAAATTTCTTTAGCTCCCTCTACATGCCACCCCCAACTTTGGGGCATACTTAGTTGTCATTTCATGTAGTCTACAACTACATGGAAAAACTATATGGAAACTTTTCATGTAGTTCACAACTAAATGGGAACTTGGAATGGACAGGTATTATGATGGAAGGGATCTCCCCTCAACATACACATTTCAGAGCATGGACAGAGATCCTCTGACTACTTCCTGTCAACCATGATAACTAAGGAGTTCTTACCATATGGTAACAAAAAAAAAAATCTTTTAATTGGCTGCTAAGCCAGGACTTGGTGTAGAGAATAAAGGAGTAACCCCCACTCCTCAGCCCTCCTGTTCCCTGGGTGGGTTTTGAATGAGAAGAAGCTGGGTGCTTCCTTCCCCTACCCTGCCATCATTTATCACTGCACAAATGATATCTGTTTCTTTTGTCTTTATTCTTTCCTGGTGTTAGGCAAACCAAGTATCCAGAAAAATGAGTGTCCAAGTGATTGATGAGACCCAAATACCCATCAAGGCTCTCAGAGATGTCTCGCTGGCAACTAGAACTGGTAGTAGTAGCAACAGCAGCCCAACAGTGTCCAGCTGAGCAAAGCAGTCACTCGTTCATCACCTGTACTCCCCAAAGAGATCCTGGCAGGAACTCTTACCCCAAGGGTTGAGAGAGACCAAGGGAGTGTTACATTGCAACAACAATCTTTTCTTTCTTTTCCTTTCCTTATTTTTTTCTTGGCAACACTATGATTAGCTCACCTTTTGCCTCTCTCACCCTCCTAGTTGGAAAAAGAAAAAAAAAGGAAAATCAAAGCCCTTTAAACAAATATGCATGTTTAAAAAAAATTTCCATGTTGGTTATATCTGAAAATACATCACATTCTTTATCTTGAGTCTACCACCTGTGAGCAGGTAGGTAAAATGTTTGATCATTGACCCTCTGGAATCATGTTGGGTCCTCACATGGATAGGAGTTCCTAAGTCTTTCAAAGTCGTTTTTCTTTACAGCATTGTTGTTATTGTATAAATTGTTCTTCTGGTTTTGTTCACCTTGTTCTTCATCAGTTCTGACAAGTCTTTTGAGTAACTCATTCCACAACCTTGGGCTCCAGTTTTCTTCTCTGAAAAATGGGGAGACTGAACTAGAAGTCATCACTAAGGCCTCTCCCAGCTCTAAATTCTATTTTCCTTTATCTTAAGAGATGGGTTAATTTCTCCCATTAATTATGATGGATATTTCAAGTTAAATTCCTCCCTGCTGTCTTGCCCAGGCTTCCACAACAGTAGATAGAGATGCAGGCAGAGGCTCTATAAGATCATTTGTCGTCACGGACACTTCTGCTCCCTTAAAGGTAAGAGTTCCTCCCCAAAAATCATCATTACACGTAGCCAAATAAATGGTCTGGTTGTATTGCCAGCAATTACCTGGTCTGCCCTCCTCTGCACCCAAAGCTTAAAGTCCTACACCACCACCCCTCATAGTTAACTGAGCAGATGGCCCATGAACTGTGGGAGAATCTGTACTTTCCCAGAAGAAAAGGAAGCAAGAGTGACCTCAGTCCCAAGACAGTGACACCAGTGAGGTCATCTCAGCCTATCAGAGCTGTTTATTGGAACTACATAGCACTTTCCCTACTCTGCCCAGATCTGCAAGGACTTTGTTGCAAGGACACTCCCTGCATCTTTTGTCTCCTTCTACTCTCTTTTCCTCCAAAGCTGTTCTCTTTTGGAGACAAGTTGGTCTGCCTGTTCCTTGGAATGCCCCTAAAAGCCAAGAACTCTTATCTCCTTCAGCATTCTGATCTGCATTAGGAATGTGGTTTGCAAATCAAACCAGAAGAGGAGACCTCAAAAACTGAAATGGAAGTATTTCCTGAGCAGAGGGGGGAAGGAGGAAAGGGACAGCAGAAGTCATCTGATTGTTTTGAGTGGGAGAGGATGGATGGATGGCTGTTGGGTTATTGGCACTGCAACTGGGTTTGCAACATAATTTGATTCTCTTGTGGTCACGTGCATTGGAAAGTTCAAAGATCTTGTTTGAAGCCATCATTTCCTGCCATTGGCTCATGGGTTAGTCTACAAAGAGGCCAAAAGGAAGAGGCTTCGCTCTTCTAGGGCTTGTCGATGGGACTTGAAGCACTGTGGCTGACTCATTCAGCAAGAGCTGGAGAGGAGCCAACAAGAAATGGAGAGACTATTCGGGGTCACACACATTGCAGATTGGCGTGCCAACTCAGGCTGTTAAGCATGTTGCCAGGACTTGACTTGGCCACGAGAGCACTATCGAGGGAGGAAAAAAAAAAGCCCTTTTTGCAATCACCAAATCTACTTCTCTCCTGGGGCAAAGGAAGCATCCCCCACTGGAGTATGGATTACAGAGCAAATTGTTCCTGCCTCCTTCCAAGATCCAGCCATGATTAGGAAACTTCTCTCTGCTCCTGGAGGGATTTCAAAATAAGGCCTTCTCATCTGTTTGAGATGGTCTGAGTATGATCCTGCCTGGAGGCATGGAGATAATCTACTCAAAAACCTCAAGGTCTCTTTCCAGACCTAGGATTATTCAGTTACTATGGTGATATTTTCCAAAGCACCCTCCCCCCCCAAAGAAAAATCAGGGTACATGGACTGACAAAGGCTATTACTTTGGCAAAACCTAAATTATAACATAATTATTAGCAACTTAATTGTTATTAATATTTAATAATATTAGATATTATTTAATATGTTAAATTATTGATTTTATATAATTAATATATAACATTAATTATGTATGTTAATAATAGCTAACATACATAGCATTTTTAAAGATTACAAAGCACTTTACATAGATGGTCTTATTTCATCCTCACAAAAACTCTTGTGAGGTAGATGTTTCTTATACCCATTTAACAGACAAGAAATCAGAATAGAAGTTAAGTCATTCACCCAGGTCCAAAGACCTATTAAAAGTATTCTAACTCAGGTCTTCATCACCCTGAGTTTGGCCCACTCCACAACATCACCTAGCTGCCCTAGTAAATGGGCATGGTCAGAGCAGTACATGCGGCCATCAGGCCCATAGTACTGTGACTACATCGATGCAGGACCTTATAGCCTCTGTCTTTGAAGGCTCCTCCTCATAAAAGGCCAAAGAAACCCTCGTCTCCTGTGTCTGATGGCTAGGAATAAGAAAATGAGCCCAAGCCCTCAGATGCTGGGGCTTAGGAGCAGGTATTGGAACCCAAACTGTGATTTTAAAACAAATTACTGCATTTGCCTGTTGAACTTCCCACAGATGTCCTCTTCAGACACTTTATTTCAGTGTGGGAATGACCTTGAGTTTCCAAAGGCTAAGTAAAAGGGAGCTCTAGCAGCTTCTGCCACCACCTGATAGTAACCACTGGGCAGCAACAGACCTTTTCTGCTATCTGGAGACTGGCTTAGTTGAGTATAGAAGGCTCACCCATAAGTTGGCTATGGGTGATGAAATTTTTCATCATGCTAACTCCTTAAACTAAATGAATATATAACATATACACATACATATATACAAACAAGGTACATGTGCATACATGTACATACATGCATAGATACACTCATGGACATGTTTTTATATAAATGCTTTTTTTTTTTGCTGAATCAAAGGGTTTTCTTGGTTGTTTTGTTTTTCAGTCACCTAGTTAACCAGTATGAACCAGAATAGGATCTATATATTTTTCCCAACCCTTCTCAATGTTCTAGTGCCTTGCCCTCCACTGATTATCCAGTTTATTCTGTCCATAGTTGTGCAGTTTTTTGTGCATTTTTGTACAGTTTTGTTGCATAGTTCTTTGCATGCTGTCTTCCCTGTTAGACCACGAGGTCCTTGAGAATAGAGACTATTTTTCCTTTTTTTGTAGCCCTGGCACTTTCCACCTAGCATATAGTAGGTACTTAATAAATGCTTATTGACTGGTTGATTTTTTAAAATATATTGTACTAGAATTAAATTAGAACATCAATATATTCTCCCAACTGAATGGATCCTTCGTTCAGCTTTGGGAAATGTCTAATGAAGAGATAAAAACACTGAAACCGGGCAAAGATTTTCAATCCTTACAACTTTATTAGGAGCAGCTGTTCACAACTCATTAGCCAACTCCCAGGTATACACAGTATACATAGCCCAGCCAGTACCTAGGCTCTGCTGTCCTTCTGCAGTACGCAGGGCGTAAACAAACCAAACTTACCACACGCACAAACACACACACATACCCCGCCCCCCCAAAGGGAACAAAACAAAAACAAATTCCACAAGTGACAGTGACAAGATCTGGTATTTTGGGGGAGCCAGTCATCAGGTGGAGGAAACAAAAACAGCCCCTCAAGATGCCCCCTTGCAACCTCCCCCCGTCCCACAGCACAAGGTCAGTAAGGTGAGTGCTAGGGTCAGGCTCCTACAGTCAGTGCACAGGAAGGATAAAGGGGCCAAGGCCAAGCTAAACCCAATTCCTATTTGTCCCCAAAACAATGGAAAAAACTTGGCTTTTTGAGGGGCCCTCCTAGACCTGATCTCCAAAAATCTATCTCAAGTTCAATCTCTGCTCTGTCCTGAAAGACATAGTTTGATCAGTGGAATGTTCATAGTCGAGAGCAACTTCTAAATAAGATACCTTGGTCCTATTTTTTTTTAGTAAGGAAGAAGAAAAAAATACCAGCAACTAGGGGGAAAAAAAACTTCTGGACCTGGTCTGTGTCAGCAACAAGAAAGTATGTTCCTCCTTAAAGACCCACATGAAGTGAATGATAGTAAGGATTCTCCTTCTAAGAGGTTAGTCACCCCAGTAGAAGCCTCTCTATTACCCACCCACCCTCATCCATGCCCCTGCCTCTTCTTCACAGCACCCACTCCATCCCTGACTCCTAGTGAGATGCACTAAAAATGGAGTGTCCTGCTCTGTCCCCTTGTCCCCATTAAAGGTCTCTACTTTTCATCACCCAATGGCCATGGACATTTTTCCCCTCCTAAAGGCATTCTACCCTTCATTTCAAGCCCTAAGGAGAGGCTAGAGGGCAAGAGTTCATTTAGTGGTTGGTTGAGTGGTTGGAGGAATCAAAATCCTCTCCCTAGGAACCCTACCTTCTTTAATCCCATCTGGGGAACCCGACCACTTGGATCTGGATCTCTACTCGAATGAGCTCATCACTGAGCAATCAGACATAGGAGACCCTGTAACTTGTGCTGGGATGACTTTATTCCGAAGGAGAATGCTATATAGTTATGAATAAGCCTCCATCCCTAACACCATAGTCTTCTCTCTAACCCACAGCCAACCAAGTCTCTTTAGGGCCCTGGGAACCATGGAATATAAGCATACTTTCTACTCCCCTGGCATAGGTCACCTGGGCCATCTCATTTGTAGACTCTGAATTTAGCTGAAATGCCTTCCCTCAAGGCTACAAACGTTCTTAGGTTAAAAAAAAAAGTCAGGGGAATTCATGTTTTGGGTTCAGATTGGACTAGATGGCTTCTCAGGGATCTGTCAACTCTGAAATTCTATCACGGGTGAAACTACAAGTTTCATGATATTAGCCCCTAAGGAAACCTGGATTGGGGTTAGGGAGGGATCCTGTCTCAAAACTGGGAGCCCTGCCTGGTGAAAGGTACTGGCATCTCCCCCAAAGAGATCTACTTATCTTCATGGTCCATACAGCATGACCTTCTGAGAAGGGCACTCAGCTCCAGGATAGTAGGGTCACCACTGCTTAGGGTGTGGTGAGGAGGTGGAAGAAAGGAGAATAGGGGTACCCAGAAAGCAGAACCTGAGGTAGGAATTAACCCCATTTAACAGGTGGGGAAACTGAGGTCCAGGGAGGCAAATAAACATACCAAAGGCCACACAGCAGTCTTGATGTCAGAGAAAGGGAAAACACCTCAATGTTCAGCACCTTGCCCTAAGCGTTCTCTGCTTCTGACCAGTAGGCCACACCATTGTGTCCTCTGAGGCATCACCGTCTCCAGGGATATGAAGCTACGGTCACTCTGAGGGCAGTTTGGCTAACAGAGAAGGTGAAGCTAGGTCCCCTTTGTGGGCCCCTCTGGAGAGAAACAGGGAACAGCACCCTTTCTGGGTGAGACCCAGAAGAATCTTAAAGCAAAGAGATCCTGGATATACAAGTAGGCCAGCGTCCAACCCCAGTGACAGCACCTTCCTGTCTGGAATTTACCCCTTAGGTTTCCTTCCACTGGCCATTGGCTCTGGTACAATTTCCAGGATCCCGAAGCTGATTTTGTTTTTTTAGCCCGATCCCTTTTTCATGAGGATCTAGGCTTTCTCAACTTCCATCTTCTCCCGCTGTTCTCAATTCTAAGGACTTTTCCTCCCTACAAAGCTATAGAGGCTATTCTTCAAAGATGATTTCCTCACCCCACCCCCAGCCCCAAATGAATACAATACTCTATAAACCGGGGTGGGGGGGGTTAGAGGAGGGGAATGTTTTGAGGAACCATGAAGAAGAAGGGAAAGTTGGGAGATTCCCTGAAGACTCCCTCTCCATCCCCTTCCCCCCCGTGATGAAAATGACCTCACCATTATGGTATCTAATTATTTCCCCCTTTCCCTTAAGGTCTCCTTATCCTGCAAAGTTTTGAGTTTCTTGGGTTTGGGGTTTTGTTTTTTTGATTTTTTCCCATTACCAGTCAGAAAAGAAAAGGAAAGTGGGTTGCAAGCACCGTGAAAACCTGCATCGTTCAGAGATGGTGCAAGAGCCCTCAGGGCCCCCTGAGGGTGCCAGGCTGCCAGCCTCGGCTCTTCCAGCAGCCTGCGGCCTCCTTTGAGGGAGTGCCACAGTACCTGAAGTTCTGCCCTGGAGATGCCCATTCTCCAGGTCTCTTTTTAAACTGGGTTCCAATCCTTCCAAGCCCAGTACACTCTCCTCTCAGGTTCTCCCTCCTATCCCCCCCGCACCTGGGCACTGGAGGAGCCTGGCACGAGGTAGACTGTGAGTTTAGTACCACTCTGCTCAAGTGAGGGAGGGTGAGGAGAACCTCTCACCCCTGTTCAATAGTCCTTAGCTCCTGGATGTGAGCTGGGTCCTGAGGTGACCCCCCTGGCCAGTGCCCACCATGCCAGCTGACCAGAATGCTGATGGCCCTAATGTGAGGGTGGGGAGAGTGAGGGGGTGGCAGAAAGAGCCTGATTCAACATGGTCTCAGGGTGCAGAAATCCAACTCCTGGGGTTTCCGACGAAGGTCGCACTGGTCTCTGGCCAGCAGCCGTCCCCCATGGCCTAGACACCTCAGCGGTCGTCTCTTAAATCCCCTGCCACAGCTCTTGGAGCAGGGAGACCAGGCACCTGTCTCCCAAGTTGGACAGGGCTCCCCACAGGGCCTTGTCTCTGTGGCCGCTGGACCGTGTCACAGGCAGAAACAGCAAGATGTCCCGGGGAGCCCCGGCAGTCCACTACACGTTTCTGCAGTCCACTCCCGCAGCTCACAGAGCAGCTCCCCCAGCTGCCCACCACCCAACGAGCTGAAGGCCTGTTGTCTTGTTGTTCCACCTGGTTAGAGAGACTGAGGACGCTGTTGTTGAGCACAGAAGATCCCCGGTTGTCTTTGCGATAGGCAGACTTGTCCTCCCGGGGTTCCTTGGGTAGATAGAAAGAGTATCGGATGCGAGGTGGGGTCATCTTGCCAACGGAGAGTACCTCCACAGTCAAAGGTTCCAGGATGGGCCTTGATGCCTGCAACCTCTCTACTGCTGTGCTGGTCCCGCTGTAACGGACCAGGCTGCCCTTCACCATCAGGTCCCGTTCCACAGCGGACACCACAAAGTGCCCATTGAGCAGGTACTTGCCTTGCCCATTCTTCAGAGCCAAGTAGTTGTCATCACTGATCAAGCCTTGGTAACCCCGCTGGCGGATGTCAATACTCGAGGCTCCTGCTGGAATAGCCACCACAAAGTTATAGCCATGCCTGTGTGAGAAAAAAGAGAGAGAGAGAGAGAGAGAGGAAGAACAGGAGTTAGAGAAAAGCTTTGATAGGGTAAGGGTTCACAGAATCACTCAACTTAACAGTTGGAGGGGGCCTCAGGAGCAATCAAATCCAACCCATACACGGAAGGAATTCCCACTGTAATCCACCTGACAATTGGTTTGTCCAGCTTCTGTTTAATTCAGGTTAATTCTGAAGAAAAAATTCAGACCACTTCACAGACTTGACCTCAGAGCCCATCCAGTCTATCCTATACTAGAACACTGTACCCAATAGGTAATCAAGCCTTTTCTTAAAGAGCTCCATTAAAGGGAAACCTAACAGCCTAATAGCAGACACTTCCAATTTTGGATAATTCTCGTTTAAATTAAGCTTTGTTCATGGCCAAAGGCTACATGATATGATGAAGTCAGGAAAATCTGGGATCAGCTTCCATCTCTGACACATATTATATATGGAGGGCCCCCTGGCAACTCTAAGACTATAAATTGCAGATAAGACATATATTGCTGATCTCCACTGGTGGAGGCGATTTCTAAACAGAGGCTTTGCTCCATACCAATGACATCATAAGTCTCAACAAAAGAAAAAAAATTATTCATGATATAGTAAAAAGAACCTGAACTTTGAGTCAGGAGACCTGGGTTCAAAACCTAGCTCTGACACTTTGGAGTATAGGATTTAGAGCTCAGAGATTACTTCTTAAATGTGTGACTATGAACAAGTCCTTCAGCCTTTCTGAACCTCAATTCTTTCATCTGTAACTGAGATAATAATATTTGCACTACCTACCTCTTAGGGTTGTTGTAAGAATCAAATGTGATAATGTGTAATTTGCAAATCTTAAAGTGCCATATATGTAAATGAATTGACAAGCATTTATTAAGCACCAACTCTTACCTGGTATTATGATATCCCTAAATTGAGGGAGCATGGCATTGTGGATAGAAAGTGGGTCTCATTACTTGTCTGTGTAATTCTGATCAAGTCATTTAATCTTGAAATGCTCTAGGCACCTGTCTAAATGCATTAGTATAAAAAAAAGCATGGACCCAATCCACATTCACCTATTCCTGTGATTTTTTGTTGTTGTTGTTCAGTTGTTTCAGTTGTGTCCAACTCTTCATGACCCAATTTGGGGTTTTCTTGGCAGAGACATTGGAGTGGTTTGCCATTTCCTTCTCCAGCTCATTTTACAGATTAGGAAGCTAAGGCAAACAGGGTTAAGTGACTTGCCCAGGGTCACATAACTAGTAAGTATCTGAGGCTGGAGTTGAACTCAGGAGAATGAGTCTTCCTGATTCCAAAACCCAGAGCTTTATCCACTATGCCACCTAACCGCTCTGTTCTTATGATCACTTGCCTCTTTGTAAAGATGGCTGAGTTGGAAGCATCCCTAACCCTACAGTCTTCCCAAACTAACTAGTCCCAAACTGATCAGTCATTACAACAATCACATCCCAGCATTCATTACCGTCACCTCTTCATATTTATGCTGATGATCTGAAGCTTGCATTATACAGAATTTTGGATAATTAAATATTAATTTTCCATTTGTTTTGGCTTACAGTTTTTGTTCTGGGTCAGGGGGCATCAGTTGGTTTGGATATTGTTGTTGTTTCTGCAACACTGGATTTACCTTCTTGATTGTGGCTTGGTTAGGCTAAGACTAAAAGGCATTTGTAGTTGCAGCACCAAGTATCAACTAGGGGAGATGACTCAGTGGTAGAATTTCTTATGGCTAAATCATGCCAGAGATCATCCTTGAGATGGATAATTTCCATGCGGGTCAGTCTACGTAACTCCCTATAGGTTTTTTTTGTGTATTGCTTGCTACATATATGGCTTGGCCCTGTCAGCTTCCTGAATACAGCAACCAAATGTCCTCTCACTTCAAGTCTGCACACAGAGAGGGCTCAGTCCAAAGGGCAATCGAGTCACCCCTCAGAGAGACTCAGTCAGAGTGGGCAGCCAGAGGTAGCCTTCCAAGGCATAAGTTCTCAGTGTCAATGTATTCCTTGTCAACCTTTGTGTACTCTCCCCCCCAAAAAAAAACAACAACAACAACAACAAATTTGATAGCAAAAGGAGAGCAACTGTCAAAGAACAGACTTTTTCCAAGACTTGAACTTGAGAAAAGTAACTGTTCTTGGCATTAGTGTATTCACTTGAACACAGAAGGCAGGCTCTCTAGACTCTAGAGGTTCTCAAAGGGGGCGATACCACCCCCTAGGGAAATGCAGAAATGATCCAGGGGGTGTTAGTAGCCTTGGATGCAATTGGGGGGTATTGAATAAAAATAAGAAGGTAATGGAAGCATAAGGAAAGAAAAGGAGAGAAGAAAATGTTGAAAAACATGTTTCATCTGTTGTGTAACAGAGTTAAAGTCATAGTGATTACAAGATTTTCCAAATAAACACACAAAATGCACATTATAACCTATCAGTGGTCAAGTCCGCCAACAGGTTTTAACTATCAAGTGTTGGCAGAAGAGCAAGTTGCACATTGTGGGAAGTCCAGCATGCATCAGCAGGAATGTATATGTAATGACTTGTTTACAATATGATACTCTACAGTGACATGATGCAATATTGAATCATCAAAATTTCAATGCAGAAAAACCCCACAAATCTACAATAAATTATTAAGTTTAAGATGCATCATTTTTTAAAAATATATTTCATATTTTTGTGAAATTATGCAAATTTCAAAAAAAAAACATTAAAGAGTTAAAGAAAGTAGATTTCCAGGGGCACACTGAGTACTTTTTTTAAAGGAGGGTAGTAGGCTAAATAAGCTTGGGAACCTTTGCCCTAGAGCTTTGGAGTCAACAGGATCCATGTGGCCAGGATCTTGGAAGAAACCAGAGCTTCAAGTCACAGTTTTCTAGGCAATGAAAATCCACACCACTCATTGCTCCCTACTCCAAAGCTACTCTTCCAATTCATATCAACTCTCTTATATCAAATCTTCCCCCCAAACCTGAAGAAATGTCAGGAAGCCCAGGAGAAAGACAGGAACCTTTATAAGAGGACACACCCTCTGTTCTATGTCACCTGTGTGCTCACCTTATCTCCCAATGTGGCTTATTTGGTTTTCTTTGTTTTTTAATCACAGGAAGCATCCACGATAGTACCTTACAAATAGCAGGTATTCAATAAATACTTGTGAAATTTACTTCAGAGATTTGGGGATAAGGGAAGCACTACATGCTAGGCAGTTAAGTGGCAAAATGTGTATATAGAGCACTAGACTTGGAATCTAGAAGACTTGAGTCCATAGCTTGCCTCAGACTTTGCTAGCTGTATAATGTGGTCAAGAGCTTTAAGTTCTTCCAGTTTCCTTACCTGTAAAATGGGCATGATAACAGCACCTATCTCACAGGGCCATCATGAGGTTCAAATGAATGCTTTGTAAATTTTAAAGTGCTATACAAATGCTGCTATTATTATTATTATTATTATTATTATTATTTATTATTATTATTATTATTATTATTATTATTATGGCTGGGGGTATTGGATAGGGTCTGGAATCTGTCTCAGTCATTCTAGAGCTCCTTAATTCACAGCTAGGGTATAGGAGGAGAGAGGGGGAAGGTACTTTCCTTCTTTACCACCCCCTCCAACAGCTGCTACCTTTCCAGCCTAAAATTCACATGCTAGAGGGACTTTGGGAAATCAGGCACATTCATGCATTCTTGGTGGAGTGATGAATTGGTACAGCTATTTTGAAAAGCAGTTTGGAAATATGTCCCCAAAGTTACTAAACTGCATACCCATTGACCCAGTGGTATCACTACTAGGCCTACACCCCAAAGAAATCAAAGTGGAAAAGATGTTACAGATACAGAAATATTTATAGCTGCTCATTTTGTGGTGGCAAAGAACTGAAAACTAAGGGGAGCAAGAAGGATTAACTGGGGAATGGCTGAACAAAGTATGATATGCAAATGTAACAGGACAATATGGCATAAGAAAGGATGGAGATGATTTCAGAGAAATTTGGCAAGACTTAAATAAACTGGGGCAGCTAGGTGGCTCAGTGGATAGAGCACTGGCCCTGGAGTCAGGAGGACCTGAGTTCAAACCTGGCCTCAGACACATAATACTTCCTAGCTGTGTGACTCTGGGGAAGTCACTTAACCCCAAATGCCTCACTTAAAAAAAAGAAAAGACTTGAATAAACTGATGCAAAATAAAGTGAGCAGAACCAGGAGAACAACATCATAAAAACAAACAATTTAAAAAGATCTAAGATTTCTGGGTCAACCACGAGTCTAAAGGACTGATAATGGAGCATGCTACCTACCTCCTGACAGAGAGAGGAGATAAACTCAGGGCACAGAACACATTTTCGGACATGGCCAACATGGGATTTTATTTTTTTACTTGACTATGTTTTTTTGTTGCAGGGATTTTGTTGCCATTATTTTTCCCCCAATGGGCCCATGGGATTTTGGAGGTAGAGAAAATAAATGTTGGTTACAAAATAAAAAAGCTTTAAGTTAGAATTGTCCATTATAGCCTTATTATGCCTTAACAAACAAAAAACTCACATGGGTTTCGTGAAGAGTCCCGTCACCCTCTTGCAGCTCTTATTATCTCCCCCACACACTCCACATTTGTCAAATTTCTTCTTGGAGCCCAAGTTCCCATCACAGCCTGCCTTGATGCATTTGCCCTGGACACAAACTGAAGTGGAATCTGGAGTGCATGGGGTACCATCCACCACCTACGGAGTCGCCATGGGGAGGGAAGAAGAGAGAGAGAGAGAGAGAGACATAGATGAGCTGGCATGTCCCCTCAGCTTTTCTCTATAGAAAGACACCCTTGTTGTGATCTCCCCCCTCCAGTCTCCACTCACCTTGGGCGCAAGCACGTAGAAGTAGCCAGTGCCGCTGGCTCGGCAGATGAGCTTGCATTTGTCCCGGGGTGAGACGCCTGAGTACTTGGGCACCCAGGCCATGGTGAGGGTGAGCCGATTGGTGCTGTGGTTGTAGCCATTGAAAGCCTCACACTGCTCCTCCCGGAAGCTCTTGCCAGAGACTGGGGTGGGGGAAGCAAATATAGGAGTCTCAGAAAGAGATCTGGATGGGATGGGAGGGAAGGCCAAGACTCCTGGGGGATTTTTAGCCATGGGAAATTCATTCTTAGCATTCATCCTTGCTTATCATTCTCCCCCATTTGACAGAAAACTAAAATCAAGGCTAAGAGAACTGATATAAACTGTGCCAAAAATATTTGGGAAAGAGATGAATTAGATTCCCCAAGGTCACTTTTCCCAATTCTCCAAGTCCAGATACCACTAGAATCTCCATCTTCACATCCAATGTGCTGGTCCTTTCCAATAGTCTCTCTTCTACTATAAGAATATGGAAACCTTAGTGCCCTAACTAAGAGAAGTTCTGGCATTTCCCTCCACACAACTTTAAAAAGTAGGCCAGATCTGATGACTCACTATGTAATGGAGGGAGAGGGATAGATTTGCAAATGAAGGGGGTGAAAAATAAAAGACATCATTTTTTAAAATTTAAGTAGGCCAGAGATCCTTCATGCTCAGTATAGAAGCCCTCTTCCCAGAGACAGGAGAGGGGATTTCGAAGACCCCTTTAAGCATTGCCAATTGTAGGGTTGACATCTTGTATAAAGTTTTAATGTTTTAGAGGAGCATCCAGACGCAACTCCCACATTCCCAGGATAAGATATCCTGGCTCCTCCTTACCTGAGGTGGGGCATGTCTCCAGGTTACAGGATCGATATTTGACTCTCACTCCCTCACAATATTTGCCGCCATTGGCAGGTGCAGGGTTGCTACACTCCCGTCGGGCCAACTGCACACCTCCACCACAGGTCCGAGAGCAGGGGCCATAAGGTTCCCATTTGGCCCAGGAACCATCCACCTGGAAAGACCAAGACTGCTTAGTATCTGTGAAATTCCTCTAACTCAACAACCCAGTGCATTTATCCTGAAGTAAAGCAATACTAGTTTTTAGACTCCACTGGTTCAAAATTTCCCAGAATTCCCATGTGCTGGGCTGGAAGCAGTGTCTGCTCAGGCCAACTCAAATGGGATTGTTAAATTGTCAGTGTGAATATTTGCACCTCAGAAATCAGCAAATGCTATAAATCAGAGCTTCATTTATTGTTTTGTTAATTGTCTAGGCTTTAAAAAGTGATGGAACAGCCATGTTGTGCAATGACTAATACCAATAAACTTAACCCTTCCCAGCAATGCAAGGATCTAAGACATCTCCAAAGGCCTCATGATGGAAAATGTTATCCACATCCAAAGAAAGAACTATGGAATTTGAATTAAGATTGAAGCATACTATTTGCTAGGTTTTTTTCTCTTCTGTTGAGTTTTGTTTCCTCTTTCTGGTGGTTCCTCCTATTGGTTCTAATTCCTACTTACAACATCACTAATGTGAAAATATGTTTAATAGGAATGTATATGCATAGCCTATACCAGATTGTACACTGTCTTGGGGAGGGTGGTGGGGAAGAAGGGGGAGAAAATTTTTAAACTTAAAAGCATATGGAAGTGATTGCTGACAAATCAAAATAAATTAATAAAAAAAAAATAAAATGCCTGATATAATAAAAAAAAAGTGATGGCAGGGCAGCTAGATAATAGATAGTGCAGTGGATAGAGCACCAGCCCTGGAGTCAGGAAGACCTGAGTTCAAACCTGGCCTCAGACATTTACTAGCTGTGTGACCCTGGGCAAATCACTTAACCCTGATTGCTTCAAAAAAAAAAGTGATGGAGAAAATGTTAATAATGCAAATTAAGCTTAAAAATATGTCCTGAATACTTTTTTTCCCAGAGAGCCAGTTATGAAAACATTTACCAGCACATTCCTGGCTAGAAGTTATCTTTGCACTCTCTACAGGAAAAAAAAAAAAAGGCTAGCTAAGCAACTTAAGAATGTAACCTTGGCAAATGACTACCCTTTTTAAAAAGTAAAACCAACATCACATTCATAGGCTTGAATACAAACTGCCACTAGTTATATCATTTCTTGTCTTTCCTAATATTCTCCTTTTCCCCCATTAACATTCTGTCTTAAAGTCAGTGCACATAAGTTGGGAAATTGCTGAATAAATGGTGACAGAAGAATATAATGTATAACTGTGCTATAAGAATGTATACATGAAGAATTTAAGGAAATTTAGGGGGATTTGTATGAACTGATACAATGTAAAGTAAGTGGAAACAGAAGAACAATTTATACAATGACCACAACAATGTAAAGAGAAACTCATTAGAACTCCAAAAAATGTAATGACCAATAGAGACTGCAGTGAATTGTTGACAAAACAGGCCTGCCTCCTCTCAGTGGAAAGGTTGTAGACTACAGATGTGGGATGAAGGATACATTGTCAGACAAGCTTAACCTGTTGATTTATTTTGCATAGTTATATTTTTATTCTCTTAGGAGAGAAGAGTTATTAAGAAGTGATACTGATATAAAAGGGGAAAAAATAGTGTGACCTTATGAATCTAAAAGTACTTCTTTAAATAGATTAAATATTTTAATTATAACTCTAAGTCAACCCAGCCTCCTTGCCCTTCACCATCCAGGTGAAATTGCTAGATTGCACCATAGAGCATAGTCTGCTAATGGGTGGGATTAGTGATACTGACAATATTCAGCTTCCCACATTCCTAAAATCATTTCAACTCTGAGATAGATTATGGAATGAGGGTTTGATTTTGTTTAGGGCCCAGGGAGAGGGGGAACAGTAAATTTAGCCTCCAAATCATGTTTTCCTGGCATTTTAATATTTTCAAATGAGTTTGCAATCCCTGAGCACATACCGTGCGACCAACATTGCGCTAGCCTGGAATGTAAAATATTACAAAAATAGAAAATACTCTGATTTCATCAGAATAGGGAAGTCCTGGAATGGGATCACTTTGCTCTTATGAAGATCACAGCTCCTCTGTGACTTATGTCTTAAGGAATGATCTGAGGCACATAGAGGGGTCAAGTGACTTGTCCAAAGTCATAGAGCTAGCAAGTATAAGATGCATGATTTAAAACCACTACTTCCTAACCCTAAGCCCAATACTCTTTCTACTATGGCTTAAATTATATGTATTAGATCCCAGGACCAGAAAATTAGAGCTGGAAGGGACCTTATAGATCATGTCATTCAACTTAAAGAAATTTCTTGAATAACATTTCTGACAAATGTTTCTAACCAGCAGCCACCCCTTGAAGACCCCCCAGTGAAGGGGATCTTGCCACCTCAGAAGCAACACATTTTCCAGTAACTACAATGGAGTGAGGGTCACACGTTTATCTGGCAACTTAGACTCCCACTCCAGCACAGATAAGGAGAAGCCAGAAGCAAGCTATCCTGGGAATGGAGGGGGAAGTGGGGAAGAGGATTGAGGCTAAGTAGAACTGTTAGTGACACCACTTTCCACACCCGAAGAGAAAGGCTTAAACCTTTTTGTGTACTTATTCAACATATTTATTCTATTCCTCTCTCTATCCTCTGGCAAACATGCCTCTCACTCAGACTACAAACCCCTAAGAGGGCAGGGCTATATCTAAATTGCTCTGTACAACTTCCAGGTCAATATAAGTAACTAGCCCCTAAGTGAATGTTGTTTTTGGTGAACAAGCCTCACCCTCCCATCAAATAGAGGCAAGCCCTCACTCAGTAACCAGAAAGATGTTCTAACATGACAAAGAAGACAGTGGATTCATTATGGGGCTTCCCTTGAGGGTCATGAAGTCCTTGAGCCAGAGACATGAAGCAAATGAGGTGATGACTTACCAGCAAGGTAATGTTCTGATCTGAAAGGTTGGAGCAGGATTGCAAAGGGTGGAGGGGAATCCCAGGTCAGTAAAAATCAATTATGACCTTTGATTCCAGGTTCAGCAAACCCACTGAGATTCATTCAGGCTTCTTACTCATGGCTCACTTTAAGTTCCTGTCACTAGCAGCCTACTAGACTGGAAGCTCCTTGAGGACAGAGCCACAGCTGGTACAGTTTGGTACAGTACAGCACAACACCCAGGAGAGTGTCTGGCACCTAAGAAGTGTTTAATAAGTATTTATTCATTGAATTATGAATGAATGAATGAATCCCAACTTGATGACATTAATGGGGAAAGAGCATCCCTGAAGGGTTCTAGGTCAAGTTTAGGGTTCCTCAAGGTAGAAAGAGAGGACACAGAAATATGAGGTCCTAACTCCTACTCCCTCTGGAAGGTTTTTTGTCAAGTCATTCAATAAAACCCATTAAGTTCCTTCATCTCCTCTCCCTATTCCTTAAAAGTTAGGAAGTAGAGAGGGATAGAGAGAGAGAGAGATAAATAGATGAGTGAGAGAGAGAGAGAGAGAGAGAGAGAGATGATAGAAGAACTGAGGTCCAGTGAAAAATACACTATCCCTAAGGTCATACAATGAATTAGTAGAAGAAATGGAATCTAGGTCCCTCAGTTCTCATATGGGGGCCCTTGTCTCTTCCTAGACACTAGGTTCCTACAGAAGGGAATCATACTCTCCGGGGAGACGGGAGAAAAAAGAACAAAGTAAGAAGCACATAGCAGAGAACAAAAGAAAACTTACAAGGAAGCAAAGAAAAGGTGGACAGTTCTCAACACAATGTGTAGTATTTATTATATAGGCTTTCTTGAAATGGAAATTTATTGCTGTATATTTTGAATCCTCTCTCAACATTCTTCTGTGCATATGGCAATGCTTTCTTTTTCTTATTTTGTATCATTTTAGCATAAAGTTTGTTTCTTTTTTCTTTTCTTATTTTGTATTTAAGTTTAAAATTTAAACCTTTACAAATAAAAAAAAGAAGGGAATTATAAGAGGCACCCCACCCTGCCCTGCCACTCACTGGCATCCCCAGCAAAGAGCAGCCTATGGTACTCACCCTGTACTTACTGATGTTGTGCCTCTCCACACAGGCCCCCTTCAGGCAAAACTTGCCTTCGCCACACCCAGTGCCATCTGCCCAGGGGAAGTGGCGGGTCTGGCACACCATCTGGCCCTTTGCCTTGCCCGTACACCACAGCTTGGTGCAGTACTGCATGTAGGGGCAGGGTTTGGAGCCCACACCGAAGGCTAGCTCGCACTGCTGGTTCAGGGTGTAGCTGGATCCTGGCAGATCCTCTGGCAGTGAAATGGGCTTGCTGGGTTGGTCCAAGAGGCAGTCACCTGTGGAGAGCCAAGGGGATTGAGCAGAGGGGAGGTGAGAGAGGCCAGGCTGCTGGATGCTTGATGAATTAGCAGCAGTCAAGGGCTACTCCCCAAAAGAGGAAGAAGCAAAAGAGTTTTCCACCCCTACACCCTTTATATTTGAAAATCTAGAAACAAAAGAGCTCTTTTAGTCCATGATCCTGCCTCCATTCAGCCTGTTCCTGAGACAGGCTTTCACTATCAAAGCACTCTCTTTCCTATCATATCATTCCAGCCTCATAATCATATGAGGCATAGAGGATAGGAACTGTTCTAACCATATTAGAGACAAGGAAACCAAAGCCTTACAAAGGTGAGATTTAGTGTTTTACCAAGAGAGACAGCAAGTGAAGTTGTCGTCCTTGTTATTCTGTTGTTCAGTCACTTCTGACTCTTTGTGGCCCCATTCGGGGTTTTCTTGGCAAAGATCCTGGAATGCTTTGCTATTACCTTCTCCAGCTCATTTTACAGATGAGGAAATTGAGGCAAGCAGGGTTAAGTGACTTGCCAGGATCACGCAGCTAGTAAGTGTCTGAGGCCAGATTTGAATTCAGGAAGATGAGTCTTCCTGATTCCAAGACCCAGCACTCCATCCTCTGTGCCACATAGCTGCCTCAGTAAAGACCTTAACTAGGGCTATAAGTCAATTGTCCTAACTCAAGATCCCAGAATCTGAGAGTTGGAAGAATAGCTAGCATTTATAGAGGACTTTAAGGTTTGCAAAGCATACATTTGATCCTCATTATAAACCTATGACTTAGGTACTATTATTATCCCTGTTTTATAGATGAGGAAATTGAGGCAAAGAGAGATTAAAGGACTTGTCATGGGTCATATAAGCTAGCAAGTGTCTGAGGCAGGATCTAAATTCAGGTCTTATTTACTCTAAGTCCACCCACTCTATTCATTATGCCATACACTGTCTAACTGAAAGGTAGCTCAGAGACTACCTCATATCCAGCCTATACCTGAAAGAATCCCCTCTGCAACATACCCAACAATTGAGCATCCAGCCTTTGTCTGAATTCCTGTAATGAGGGGCACCTACTCTTTCCCATAACAGACTATTCCACTTTTGAATCATTCTAACTATTAGGAAGTTCTTCCTTATACCAGGACAACTAGGTGGTACAGTGGATAGAGGGCCAAAACTAGAATCAGGAAGACTCCTCTTCCTGAGTTCAAATCTGTTCTCAGACACTTTTAGCTGTATGAACCTGAGCAAGCCACTTAACCCTGTTTGCCTTAGTATCCTCATCTGTAAAATGAGCTGGAGAAGGAAATGGCAAACCACTCTAGTATCTTTACCAAGAAAACCCCAAAATAGGTCACAGAGATTCAGACACGAATGAAAAACGGTTCCTTATACCAAACCTAAATTTACCTCTTCAACTCTTATCCACATTGTTCTGCCCTATAGAGTATAAGTAGAATAAGTATAACCCCCTCTTCCAGATAATAATCTTTCAAATATTTAAGGACAGCTATCATGTTTCCTGAAGTGGCTTCTTTCATTCCCAGCTCTCTCAGTGATCATTAAGTGATCTGGAACTTGAGGCCCTTTATCATTCTGGTGGCCCCCCCCTCTATACACCTTCTAGGTTATCAATATCCTTCCTAAATTGCTACACTCAGAAATAAACTTATTTACTATAAGTCCATTCACTCCATTCATTATGCCATGTACTGTCTAGCTGGAAGGTATCTCAGAAACCACCTCATCCAGCTTATACCTGAAAGAATCCTCTCTGCAATATACCCAACAATTGAGCATCCAGCCTTTGTCTGAATTTCTCTAATAAGGGATACCTACTCTTTCCTACAATAGACTATTCCACTTTTGGATCATTCTAACTATTAGGAAATTTTTCCTTATACCAAGGCGACTAGATGGTACAGTGGATAGAGTGCCAGACCTGGAGTCAGGAAGACTCATCTTTCTCAGTTCAAATCTGGCCTCAAATACTTACTAGCTGTGTGAACCTGGGCAAATGTCCAATTTAGGATTTAAGACATTACTAAAATCTGAATTTTTGGTATCATTACTTTCTTTAAATATTTTGTGAATCAATTCTTCAACTCTCTCACAACTGTGTTACTTCCAGCAATGGTTTCCTTTTTGTACATTTGGTCTAACATAGCTGCTTTTCTTGTCTTTGTTTTCTCTAACACCATCTCTAACTTCTAAGTTCATCTGAGATTGTGACATTACAGTCCAAGTGTGATGGCTTTATCATCTTTAATGATTTGAAGATTTTATTATAAAAAGTTTTTGCAGATCTTTTCCATTTTTCTTCTGTTTGTCATCTTTCTATTTTCGTCCCCAAAATTTTCATCCTCAAATGCCTACTTGAGTATCTTGCCAAGTTTTTGTAAAGTTTATATGACTGCAAATATAGACTCTGAAGAATTTTTAAAATATTTTATTTTATTATTTTTTATTTATTTTCATTTATTTATTTATTTTTATTATAATTTTATTATTTTATATTTCATCGTATCTTATTATTTTTTTATTTTTATTTACTTATATTTATTTTATTATTATTTTATTTATTATTATTTATATTTTATTATACTTATTTTATTTATTTTAATATTATATTTTTATTTATTATATTTATTAAATAAAGTATTTAATGTTTAAATAATATTATTCAGAGGGCAAATGGAAAATTATATGGTTACCATGAGCAGGTTGTAACATATAACAGAGAAGGAACTACAAAGAACTAGAAAGCAAGAAAGACTCCCAGCACACTTAGTACTCTGCCTGTAGTGAACTTCTGTGATGATAAGGCCAAGAGCCATACAAGATACACAGGCATGAAAGAATTGTGATCTGCATCACTGGAGAAGACATTCTCATCAATGAAATCAAAGATCCATTTGAAATCTAACCTGTTTAAATCTTTTTCTCTCATGTAATAAATTAGCCTTATGTTATTTGCAAAATTGATAAGCATGCTAGCTTAGATAGACACTGATAAAAAATAGTAAGCAGCCCAGGGCCAAGCCCAGTTCCCTGGAACACTCCGCTGGCAACCTTCTTCCAAATTGAAAAGGAGCTATAATGACTACTCTTTGGAGCTATTCATTCCACTAATTCTACCCAATTACACTATTCTCTAGCCTGTTATCTCTCCATATTTTCCAGAATAGGATGAGAGACTTTGTAAAATGCTTTGCTAAAACGCAGGTAAACTGCATCTACCACATATTCTCAATACCTGTGCAGTAGTCCTGTCAAAAAGGGAAATAAGGTCAGTCTGATATGATCCATTTTTGAAGCCATAGTGGTTCTCCATCATCACTACTATCATTATCCAAAAGTTCACTAACCATCCTTTTGCTAATATCTTCTAGATTTTTGCCAAGAATCTAAGTCAAGTTCACTAGCCTATCATCTGGGGACTCCTTTCTCATCCTTTTTTTTTTAATGTAAACAATGTTTGCTCTTCTCCAATCCTGTGGTACCTCTTGCAGTCTCCACAATCTTCCAAGTATCACTGATGCTAGCATGGCAGTGACATCTCCCAGTTTTTTTTCAGTAGGTTGGGACAGTTTGTCTAGGTCTGGTGAGTTGAACACATCAAGAGCAGCAAGGAGTTCTATCACCCTACTTATCTCAGGTATTAAGTCCCTATTGGCTACTTCTGCTCTGTCCTTTGCAATCCAAAGAAAACAGAAACAAAATATAGAGTAGAACAACTCTGCTTTCACTCTATCATCTGTTATCATTATCATATATACCCCTAAATAGCTATCCTATCCCTTCTTTGGCCTTCCTTTTTTTCCCAAATACAGCTTTAAGCTTTTTTTTTATTGTTCTTAGTATATTAAGATGACAACATTGCTCCTGCTTTGGCCATTAATGATCTTCACCATGCCTCCTTCTAACCACTTCCTTGGTTCCTAGATTTCTTCACATGAGCATAACTTTTTAATATATAATGCTATTCTATATCACAGCATCTCACACAGAGACACACACTTGTCCTGCTCTTCTGAGCTGTGTCTCTCCCCCCAGAGCTTTATTCCAGTCGTTGGGCCTATTCCAGCAAGTCTCAGCGATACTTGTCGTAAAATCTACCACCTTATATTAAGATCTCTAGTTCAACTTTCCTGTAAGCCATACTTTTGCCATCTCTGCACAGCCCAAGGATTTTTATTCCCGGCTCCTATTTTTATTTTTTTTTTCTTTCATTATTTTATTTTTCTACCTAACTCCTATTTTTGATTTTAACTTTTGTAAACATCTGTGCGTTTCCTGCTGTTATTCATCCTACATCCTAGCTACTCCTTCTACCAAGGTGGACACACATAAATTATTTTCTTCTCCTGACTCTTGGAAAGATCTTTTATAAGAGATTCCAGCATAAATAATAGCTTTCTTCTTACAAAAAAAAAAATCCTGGGCTATTACTAGGAGCTAATTAAATCTTGAACTCTGTCTGCAGAACAGAGGCACAACGTACTACAACATGACTGGCAATGGCCTAAAATCATACAATAGTAGATCTAGAGTAGACCTCAGACACCATCTAGTCCAACTCCACTTTACAGATGAAGAAGCAGAGGCCCAAAGAGATTAAGCAACTTGCCAAGGTCATCCAGGTAGTAAGAGTCAGGGGTAGGATTTGAACCCAGGTCCTCATATTGCAAAAGGGGAGCTAGGTGGTGCAGTAGATACAGTGCTGGGCCCGGAGTCAGGAAGACTCCTTTTCCTGAGTTCTAATCTGGCCTCAGACATTTACTAGCTATGTAACCCTGGGCAAGTCACTAAACCCTGTTTGCCTCAGTTTCCTCATCTGTAAAATGAGCCAGGGAAGGAAATGGCAAACCACTCCAGTGTCTCTGCCAAGGAAACCCCAAATGGGGTCACAGAGTCAGACACAACTGAAAGATGACTGAACATACCTCTTACTCCAGAGATGGTGTTCTTTTCACTGTTCCATAGCACCTCCTACTATTGTCCAAAGCCCACAGTTGGGGATCAGAACTCTAGTCCAACAAGCTATCTAGTAACAATAATAGCTACTATTTATATGGCATTTTTCAATTTATAAAATAGTTTCCTCATTGCAACCCTTCAGTAATAACACATGGCCTCCCACTGAGGCCTTTCTTCCTTCCTCCTTTAATACCCCCTGCTCACCATGTCCACTGTCCAGGAAGTCAGTGATGATGGCAGCACTGCAGGCTGACCAGGGGTTGGCACGGTCAATCTGGATAAGTGTAGGGGACATCATGTGGTTGGCCCGTAGCTTCCCAAACACCTCCTCACACACCTTCACATTGTCATGGGGCATGTTGAACACGTGACCTGGGTGGGTAAAACAGAAGAAAGTGGTTATTTAGGCTAGGGAAGCAGACCACTCAGAGGACAGACAGGCAGAGATAAGAAGAAATGTGGGACAAAAGTGAAAAATAGCTTTCTGGGGAAGGGACCCCACAAAGCTGGTGCCAGAGGCAGAAAGTTGGGCCAGGAAGCAGCCTGGAGCAACTGAGAAGCATGGGGTGATAGCTGAAAAAGATGATATAATCCTCACGTACTTAGTCTGTCTCCTTCCCTCAAGTCATGTACACTTGTTTCCATACTGCTTTATAAATGTTCTTAGGTCCTTTTTATGCCTGCAGCCAATCTTTCTCCCTGCCATTGTCAATCAGGCTGTGAGTTCCCTCTTTTTTTGCATCTCTTCACAGTGTCCCAAAAAGAATGTTGCAACAAATTTTTAAAAAGAAATTCCTGTCAAATCTTCATCTCAGAGAGCTAGACCTTTAGCCAACTGAACACCGAGCAAAAACCTTCCTGTACATGCCAGAAGAGTGCTTCTTTTAGGTGCTCATTCAGTATCACAGGACTCTCTGAGCCTTGGAAACATTCAGAGCAAAGCCAGCTAAGCCCAGGAGCAGAAGAGAAGAATTCCCCTCTCTCTCTCTCTCTCTCTCTCTCTCTCTCTCTCTCTCTCTCTCTCTCTCTCTCTCTCTCTCTCTCTCTCTCTCTCTCTCTCTCTCTCTCTCTGTTGTCCAGCCTTACCTAGCTCATGGGCAGTAGTGAAGGCAGATGGAAGCCCATCATCCTCAATGACCGAGCAGCTTCTCTTGGGGTCACACATGGTGCCCACATCAGCCATTCCCAGGGTATCGCAGGTGGTGGCACCACACAGATCCTGCAATGGAGAAGGGAGAAGCAGAGATCCAGAAGTTAGAGACAGCAGTGACCTTGGGGAAGGGGGGAAGTGAGAAGAAATAAAATCACCTAGAATATATCTGCTTACTGTCATTCCTGCCCCTAACAAATCCAATATCTTTTCCCATCAGTCCTTTCCTAGACAGGTTATTTTCTGCCTTCTGCCAAGAGGGATGGAGAAGCCACCACAGAGATGTCAAGGGGGTCAGGCCAAGCTAAAGAGATTGCTGGCCCTAAGATGGATGCATTGTGGCTTACCAAGGAAGCTCTGCCTACTTCCTATCTGGGACACTATCTTTGGAGAAAATTAAGAGGTTTAAAATAAATCCAGAGGGTCAATTTTATATAGAGAAAGCCCTCCTAGCTTACTGGGGCAATGGCTCTTCAGCTGGGTGAGGCGTTGGTGTCCAAAGAGGCAGGACAAGGTAGAAATAAGGTGGGTATACTCCCCTTCCATAGTCAACATTTGGCTGTAGAGCTCCTGTTGCATTGAAGCATACTCTTTACACTTTATTTTTTTTTCATGGTTTTTTCCTTTCGTTCTGTTTCTTCTTTCACAACATGACTAATACATAAATATGTTTTACATGATTTACATGATCAAATTGCTTACCATCTTAGGGAGGAGGGAAAAGAGAGACAGAGAAAATTTGAAGCTCAAAATTTTATTTAAAAAAAAAAGAATGTTAAAAAAATTAAAAAAACAAATTTTTAAAAAGAAACTTGTGTGAGATCTTCATCTCTTAGAGAGCTAGACCTTAAGCCAACTGAACACCAAGCAAAAACCTTCCTGTACACACCAGATGAGGCTTTAGTTCAGTTAAAAATGAGGCCAGGATCAAGGGAAGCCAACAGTGAGGCTATAGGGGTTTAAGAAAATCATTTTTTAAGCAGATTATAACAAGAAATGATTAATTATGACCTGGGCAGTGCACTTGGCAGGAAAGTCATCTCTGTTTGCATTAGGATTTAAGATCTAAGGATCATAGATTTAGAACTAAAAAGTGCTTTAGAAGCCAAATTCTCTCATTTAACAGATAAAGAAACAAAGGCCCATAAAGGTTAGATGACTTGCTCAAGGTCACACAGTAATTGATGGAGCTGAGAATTGAAACTCTGTCCTCTGACTACAGATAGCTAAGCTCTTCTAGCAGCCGGCTCTGGCTAAGAGGTCAGCAGCTAGGTGACGCAGTGGATATAGTAAGACTCATCTACATGTATCTACTCTCTATCCTCTCTGAGAACACTCATGCACTCTATGGTTCAGTCTGCTTTTCATTCGCAACATTCATCTCCCATCTCCAACCCTTTGCACTAGCCATGCCCCACGTCTGGAATGCACTGTCTTCTCCTCTCCCCTACCTCCATCTCTAAGATTCCCTAGCTTTCTTCAATGCTCAGCTCAAATGCCACTTTCTACATAAAGTAGAAAGTTTTCCTGATAGCTCCCACCCAAATACTCCCCTAATTACCTCACATCTGTTCTAAACATACCTATATTCACACGTTTTCTTCCCTCTTTCCCCCAGTCATAAGGCAATGATATGAAGCCCCTTCCCCACTTCTCCATCAGGTAGCTACTTTCACATTCCTTAAGGGCAAGGCTTCATGTTACTTTCATCTTTGTTTCCACATCATCTAGCACAATGCCTAATACATAGTAGGTGTCTAATAAATGCTAGTTTGTTGATTTAATTGATGCAAGTTGTATACAACAGCTTGTTGTCCAATCCCTTCAGTCATGTCCGACTCTTCATGACCTCATTTGGGGTTTTCTTGGCAAAGATACTAGAATGGTTTACCATTTCCTTCCTCCAGCTCATTTTACAGATGAAGGAACTGAGGCAAACACGGTTAGGTGACTTGCCCAGAGTAAGTGTCTGAGGCCAGATCTGAACTCAGACAGATGAGTCTTCCTGACTCCAGGACAAGCACTCTATCCACTGTGCCACCTAGCTATCCCTTATACAACATATCAATTCATCAAAATCAAATCAAGATCAAAAATCAAAATCAAATACATACTAATTTCTCTGAAATTCCTTTTTTTCTCTATGGGAAGAGAATTAGGAGGGATATGTACTTCATGTACATACACAGCTATTCCCTAGTGGGAGTCCAAAGTACAGTCACACAACTCTCCTCACTCCAGTTATGCTTATTGCCCCTCTTCTTGTTCCTTAATCCCATTTTCCTTTTAAGCTTTGCCTTACTGGGGCAGGGGGAGCCAGAGGAGGCATATATCATGATTTAATTTGAGTTTCTCCAAGTTTTATCACTTGAGCAGTCAAACTTGGGTTCACATGATCATGTGCTAGTCATACTTTCTAATGACTCAGATGCCCCTGGATATAGACAAAAGGAGAGTATGTCTTGAAGCAGGCTCTTTGGTGGCTTATGCACAGCAATCTACGGACCCCACAGCTGGAGTCCTTACAACCCAAGAGCTTCTCATGCTCAGGAAATCTCTGCTGGAACCAACCTCCCAAGGGGGAAGTCACATGAAGAGGCAGAGCAGGGGAAGAGAGCTATTGAACAAATGACAAAAAGGAGATAACACAGACCAGGTTGTAAGAGTCGCCTGGAGCAGAGCTGGGATAAGGCATCTGGGAGCCCAAGACAACGTCTGGAAAGTATGCTCCCAGCATGTGACTATCCACAGAAGGTTGTGAGCCTTCACAGTCCCCTGCTGTGGCCTGACATCACAAAGAAAATCCCTATATGTCATGAAGAATGCAATCTTTCCTGGCATTAAAAATGTGTGCATTTATAAAAGTCACATCAAAAGTGTCTCTCATTGAACTCCCCTGCATGTTACTCCCAACTGCCAATCTAGCCAGCCCTCAGTCCTAGATAATATCCAGAAGTCAGAAAGAGGGAGAAAAGGATATAGCAGAATGGAGGGATGAAAGAAGAAGCATGGGGTAGTAGAAAAAAAATACTGCTAAGGAATTAGGACACCTGGATTCTAAGTCATTTGTTGTTGTTGTTCAGTTGTTTCCGACTCTTCGTGACTCCATTTGGGGTTGTCTTGGTAGAGATACTGGAGTGGTTTGCCATTTCCTTCTCCAGCTCATTTTGCAGAGAAAGAAACTAAGGCAAACAGAGTTAAGTGACTTGCCCAGGGTCACACAGCTAGTAAGCATCTGAGGCCAGATTTGAACTCAGGAAGAAGTCTTCCTGATTCCGGGCCCAGTACTCTATCCACTGTGCCATCTAGCGTCCCATCCTAAGTCATAGCATCATAGAAATAAGTTTGGAAAAGACCTCAGAGGCCCAGAGAGGTTATGGCATCTGGCAACAGTTACACAAATAGCAAGTAGCGGTTATTACTTCTTCAACTGAACCACTCTCAGGGCTAACCTTAGGCTCGTAATTATTCCTTTCTGGACCTCTGTAAGAAGAAGGGTTTCAACAAGAAAATCTTCAGGGTCCCTGCAAGTTCTAACATTCTCTTATTCTTCATCACTCGCCCACTGCTTGTTTTTCTTTGTCCCCTTTCCAGTAGAAGTGGCTTAAAACAGAGTTTTGTATTTTTTAGGGAAGAAGGGGAGGAGGAGCTCATTTTCAGCAAGCATCTTGGCCACATCAGACTCTAAGGCCTCTTGGGATGCCCACTCCTCCACCACTCCCCTCAGAGGCCCATCTCAGCCTGGCCCTGAGTAGGGACAGATGTAAATCTCCAGGATCAGTTGAGAACGAAGAAGATGGAAACAGATATTGGAACGCAGAATTCTCATATCTCTTTAGCAGAGGCTTTAAAAAAGAAAACTCTCCTTTCCCGTCATAGTGGATAAATCCCTTCTAGAGAAAAGATTCCACCCATCCACCTGTACGTTTGTCTACACAGAACCCAGAATTCAAGCACACTCAATTCTATGGAGTATTCTTGAGTAGGTATACACATATGGTTATTCACTAACCATTTAAAATCCTGGACCAGTTCATGGGCTCTTCTTCCCCCAACACACACACACACACACACTCATAGAAAACACAAACATCTATTAACTAATCACTATGTAAAGAATACTTTGCTAGAATCTAGGGTAAGTATAGTTTATATACCACAGTCCCTACTCTTCATGGAATTGAGAGTCTAGTTGGGAGATAAGACACAAATATAGGGATAGGGAGTAGGCCTGTGATTTCATTGGCATAAGTGGAATGCTGCCCATATAGGTTATCTGATGTCCACATGGGATTTCTATACATTTAGATAAGCAGTTCCTGGGAAGCATGACTAAACAATGCAGTGCATGGCACTTAATAAATGCTAATTGATTGATCTGGACTGCCCCTGAGGAAAGGAGGAAAGCCAATAAGATAGCTAAGGAGGAAAGGCAGGAAAGCCCTGGGAATAAGGCCAGGTGCTTTCTTCTAGTCTACAAAGGGATACTGGACTAGAATTATATCTATCTGCTTCTAAATACTGCTAGGCTAGAGATACAATCATTTCCAAAACAAAATTAAAAAAAAAAACACTTTCCTAACAGCTCACGTGAGAGTAGGGTTGCCAAGGTAGGTTGCCAAGATTACACTCACCAGCTTGAGCCCTTCTCACCAACATTGGTTAAACAAAAGACCAATCACAAATAGTGAACAGTGAGCAAAGCCATTTATCCAAGCAGATAGTAAACAGAAACTGGAGACACAAGACAGCTTAAAATATACTAGAAAACACACAAGAAGAGTGAGATGAGATCTCAGCTCAACCAAGAGAGAGACCCTGATCTCACCCAAGGGAAAATTACCCGAAGTCTCTAGGGAGACAATATTTTGAGGAACTGATTTCCCCTACATGTCTGCAGCTTGCATAGTCTTTCTCTCCTCTATATGTGTCTGGCATTGGTCCTGAAGAGAGACTTGGGACCGTGTGTGAATCTTGAAGAAAGAATGAGAAATGTCTCTCCTCTCCAAAGCTCTAGAAACAGCTCCATCCCTCACATAGTCACACAGCCCTGCATCACCATTCTTTCC